CCAAATTTGTTTTCTAACTACATAGTCAATAACAAAAACCTACTCAGTGAACTAAATCGGAAGTGCAATAGAAAAAAGAACTATAGTGTCATGAAGATCACTGTCCTACAATAGATCTTAGTTTCCTGCATGAAAAAAAAAGGAGAATAACAATATTTGTCTCACAGAGTTATTGAATAGCACTACTTCCTGCTCGGCTGCCCCAGCCCAAATCCTGGTACTCTTTTCAGACACTGTTCTCCTTCCCTCACTGTTCATGTCCCCAGAGACATCAAGCACTGTTGATTTTATGCCCTGAAAAGCTCTGAATGCTTCCTTTCTTCTCCATCTGCACTCATTCTCTGCTAGTTTTGACTCTTATCAATTTCAATTTCATTATACTTGTAGGGAATGAGTTCCAGTGATGGGTGCAGCAGACAAGTTCCTGGCTCTTCAGAATCCTTACATTTCTACTTTACAGTGTGTTCTTGATGCCTATGAATACTTCAGATAGACAGCCTAATTAGGTAAAGATTGTTCTTTTAGGCTATTTATACATCTGCTATTTTTTTACTTAGAGGATGTGCTGTTATCCATCAGTACCAGTGGGAACCAACAGGAAGTACAAATGGAGCCCAATAGGCACCAGAGAAGACAGCCAAGCTCATAGCAACCAGGGAACTATCTAAAAAATGGTAAATCTGAAATAATGAATACCAAATTTGCATACATAGAGAATTGCCTATAAAATCCCAGCATTCTCTTACAAACTGCATGTTTTTCCCCACTGGAAAAGGTCATTCCAGAAATGGAGATTCAATCTAATGAAGATTCCTATTGACTATCAGCTATTTCACCGAAAACATTTCAAATAAATTTTGAAATGTCGCCCCTTACACTATGAGATAGTCCCTAAAATGTGCCTTCTGCAATAAGATTACAAGAATATCTTAAGTCCAAAGCCCCTTGAAATGTAACTCCCATAAGCTATTAAGAATTTTAAAGTTTACAAAATTATACTTACACCAAAGTTGGTAGCGGCAAATCGATCTGAGGCGGAAACCTGAACATTTGTTGAAACTGTTGTATGAGCATAGAAAGCATTTATATTAGCCAGCAAGGTGCTCATGACAGCAGGAACACCAGGGCACATGTATTTAGAAGACAGACATGAAAAGTGCCTGCAACACAAAAATCATAAAGTGCTTTTAAAACAGAAATAATTAATTCACATAACAGCATAGCTTTTAACATTAGCAATTAAGTAATTCCTCAACTACATCTATGAAAAGGAGAGAAAACTCCCATCATCTCTAGTTGAAAGAGAAAACAATTTCAGCTTTTTGAAATTTCTCATTCATAAATGTGAATTGGATTAATTAGAATGTAATTTGCCATAAGAATGTGTATAACTTCTTTCAAAGGTGTGAGTGTTGTGTGTGCACACATCTGAAGTGCAATTTCCGGTGGAATTTAGTACTGTCAGAAATCACAGGAGTCTCTCTCTCTCCCCGGACCCTGACTCTGCTTATTTTAGTTCCTGAAATGCCATATTCCAGCCAAAATTTCCTTTTGCATTTGTATTCTTCTCGCATTGATGTACTAGCAAGAGGCCCTCATCTCATTACACATTGATTGAACAAGTCAAGTAGCATCTTACTTGAGTCCAGTTTGTGAGTTTTTTTTTTTTTTTTTTCAGGAAGGAATACCTTCCACAGGAAATTCTGTTTTCACTTTGATACAGACAGGATTTAATTAGGGAAACAAATGAATAGTGAGGACAGATTGAATTATACCAGCTTCATGCTTAAAGACTGTTTCTTTTAAACCTTGAATAATAGTATCATTTAGAGCCATCAGAAGTATCAAGTGTTCAATTCTGTTATTTCTTACAAGGAAACCTATTTTATTTGAACTATAACAAAAGACTTGCAAATTGAAAGCACAGCTTATGATAAAAGTGAAAGATAAAATATGCATGGAGGAGAGCAATTTTCAGTATATAATCTGATCCTATTTTGCTCTCATATCTTAGTAATTTATCCTCCACATAGCCATTTCTGAATTTTGCATTACTGAACACAAACACGGAATACACATAAATGCCCTGAGTGGTATCCCCCAAATAAATGGATGGTGGTCCTCAAATTTGTGATTTGTCTTAGATCTCAACCAGACTAGCTTTCCACCTAGCTTGTCATGATACTGGCCAACAAAAGTAGTTTAAGTTTTTAAATATACATCTTTGAGAATCATGAATAAAAATTTATGCCATAAGAGTTCCATGATTTGTGTAATTTAACCCTGGAATTAGATTATCAATGCTGATTTCATTAAGGTAAATGGCACATGTTTTGAATTTATTATATGCTAAATCGATTATAATTAATATCTATTAA